GGCCTCCCAGCAGCCCTCGCCCCGCCCCGTGCGCCGCTCGGACCAATCCCCGGGCTCCCAGCGGCCGCAGCCAGACCTGCGGGACTGGCCGGGCGGGGCCGGGGAAGAGGCCTCACGGTCGCCTGGTCCACTCGGGCTGCCTACCGGTCCCGGACGCTGCTGCCAGGGCGTCTGGCTCCTTTTCGTGGCTCCCCGAGGACCGTGGGCTCGGGAATCTCCAACAGGCCGCCTTCAGCAGAGAACCGCCACCTGCCCTGGCTTTCGTAGACCCCTGCCGAGACACCACTCTGTTCCTAGGTTTTCTTGTTGGCCTTCTTTTCGGTTCTGGAACTTTAAACAGAGTCATGACTGGGCACAGCCCTTCGCTTTTCCCCCCCTTCTCCTCTGTCTCCCCCCTTCTCTGTCACGCTAGTTCTGGAGATGGAGTGCTAGATTGCTTCACAGCTGGTCCTTCACTTCCTCAGTGTTAATGGTCATAAAAGCAAAAGTCCAGCCTTGTAAGCCCAAGGTTGGTTTTCTATGTCTTTACTTTTGCAATAATAGCTACATTTGTATGCAGTGCCTTAGAGTTCACGCAACCCTTTTTGCATACCTTATCTCCTGTTATCTTTTAACCTCAACCAGGAAATTTTATGGCCCTCATCCTCAGTGGCACACTTGAATTGCACTTGCTGAAATCTTAACTTATTGTAAAGCTGCTATATTGTAGTATTGTAACTTACTGCTACTATAATAGCTCAGGCAAATAGCTGAGTAATCGGAAAAAAAATTAGAGGAAATTTTTTAAAGAATAGTAATAGGACTTTCCTGAGGGGGAAATTTTAAGCAAGACGGGAAGCCCAGAATCATTAATGAAAAAGTAAAAACATTTGTCTACATAAATATTTTGAAAGTTTTGCATGACATCACAATGACAAGTTTAAAAAAAAAGAAATAGAATAGAACAGAACATTTGGCAAGCACATTGTATCTCTACCATAAAAGAGTTTCTATAAATGGACTTTTTTTTTTTTTAAGTAAGCTCTACTTGCTTAAGGTGGGGCTTGAACTCACAACCCAGAGATTAGAGTCACATGCTCTACCAACTGAGCCAGCCAGGTGCCCCATAAATGGATTTTTTTTTTAAAGCCAGCTGGATCAGGGGCGCCTGGGTGGCTCAGTCGTTAAGCGTCTACCCC